TCTGTCACGCGCTGTACGTTTGTTTTCTCCGTCCGCCGTTATGAGGCTGGTGAGTACAGGCGTTCCGAAGGGTTGACAGCTGGGCCTCTTCGGTTTGTTGTGTTTAGGACTGGTGGGAAAAGGGGATTCCTTGAATGGCGATTTGGTTGGTTGTTTTTTGTTGTATGTTGTGTGGTGAAGTGGTTGGGATCTCGTCTGGTAATCTTGCTTGACCCGCGTTCGAATCCCGCACTGCCGGTGAAGGAGAAGGAGGACTAAGGAGGAAGAGGTCATCCGAAAGGGGAAGGGGGCACATGAGATCAGCTGCGTTTGTCTGGAAGCGAAAGATGAATGGTGGATGCCAACCCCGGCCGTTCCTTGCACACAGGGGTCATCTAGGAGCAAAATGAAACAGACAGCTTATCACATCAAGAATATTCATTGTCACAGATTAAAAAAAACTAAAAAAGAAACTAAATCATAAATCATACCATCATCATACTAGCGTTCCGAAGGGTTATAAGCTGAACCGACGTTTTTCAATTCATAGAGTTGGTTGTGTTTTACATTTTGGTGACATGCGAGAAAAAAGGGAATTCTTTGTCTTGCGTTTTGTGGTTTGGTCGTCGATTTTGTATGGTGTTAGAGTTATTAAATCATTTTCCGTTGCTGTTGAAGGTGAAGACGATTGCAATAGTGATTATTGTCTATATATATCATTAGGAATTATTACCACTAGTAGGCTACTGTCATTAAGATTATCAGGATTATTAATGCAATTTATAAAACAAGTAAAATCTAATTTGCACCAGATTATCATTACAGATCATTTTAAGCCTTCCATTATTTGATATTTCATAACTGAGGTAGAAAATGAAGATGGAAAAGTAGCATTTTGAAGTTATTTTCTCGCGTTCCTGTTCTGCTTGCTCTTTCTTTCCTTTATATTTTTCATTCATAGAGAACATGTTGGCTTTTATTATGATTTCCATCAGATTATATATTTTCCTTTTTTATGCAATCATGATTTTTAGAAATATTGATTATATCAATATCGTTCGATTTTTCTTTTCGATGTACGCAAATTTTTGTAGATAGATAATCTGTGCACCATTTTAAATATACGTATTTAAGCTCCTGTGCTTTAATACCGGAAGCAAGAAAGCTGGGAATGATCTCGTATAACTAGCTTGAGGAACATGTAATTTGATAAACTGGTCACATATCAAAATTATTTCTGATGAAATAATATAATCAAAACCGTTCAAATTCTATGAACTATGGAGGTCTTCCTTCGCTCCCGCATTCTAAACAGTACTTTTCATTCTGGTTATTATAATAAGACCAAAAGTCTCGAGTAACTTTAAAGAAAGTAGGGGTAAGTGGTCCTATTACAACTTTTATAGGAGAAAACAGCACGTGGAGACCGTAAGCACTTTATTAGCCACTTAAGTGATATTTACTGAGACAAGGATATAGGTTTGTTCATGTTCTTCATCTTATCAATTATCATCAATGTTATTATTATTGTTATTGTTATTATCATCATTCCTATTTTGTTCTTATTTTTCTCTCTATTATCTTTTTTCATGTTCGTCTTCGTCCTATCATTATCATCAATGTTATTATTAATGTTATTGTTATTATTATCATTCCTATTTTTGTTCTTCTTTTTTTCCTATTCTTCTTATTTTTCTTTTCTGTTATCATAATGACGATAATGATGATAATGATAATGATAATTCTCCTCATCGTCATCATCTTATTACGGCAACATTTTCGATTGCAAAACAACATTATTTACAGTAATAGTAAATAAAAAAATATACTTATTACAGGCTGCTTCAACCTATTCTAGAATTTTTTTTTATTCTCACAAAAGTCTAAAGATTAAGAGAAAAAATAGAAACTACAGCAAAAAGCAAGGATAATCATATTTAAATAATTTGTGATTGTTGACAACGAAGGTTCTCTGTCTAAAAAAAGATATACTTTTATGCCATCTTTTCATAAACAATATTCTGATATGATACAAAGAGTTTTTCTCCTTAAAAAATTCTAGCAAATATGAACCATTTTATTATAAAGCGTGAAACAGTCAATGCTATTTGGAAAATGAATCCATACACATTTCATTATTAATTCATTCTATTATTCTTAAGGGCAAGAATAGAAACTACATTTAAAAAAAACAAAAACATGCGGACAGTGGTATTGCCGACGCACATTATTACATCAGTTTTGCTTTTCGAAAACATATCTCACCTGAACCGTAAAAATCACAAAACGGAAGGTCGCACTTTTTACGGGTTGTGTGTGTGTGTGTGGGGGGGGGGAGTTGCCTATATATATGTATAATATATATATATATATATATATATATATATATATATATATATATATATATATATATATATATATATATATATATATATATATACACACACATACAAACACACACACACATATATGTAGGATCATACCCTTTCCTCTTCCTCTCTTCGTGGCTTCCTCGCTCTAG